TTTTGATGATGGCCATTCTGACCACTGTGAGTTGATACCTCATTGTAGTTTTGATTTGCATTTCTCTGAGAATTAGTGATGTTGAGCATCTTTTCATGTGTCTCTTGGCCATCTGTATGTCTTCTTTGGAGAAATGTCTGTTTAGATTTTCTGCCCAATTTTTTATTGGGTTGTTTGTTTTTTTTGTTTCATTTTATTTTTGTTTTTGTTTTTTGACATAGAGCTGCATGAGCTGTTTGTATATTTTGGAGATTAATCCCTGTCAGTCACTTCGTTTGCAAATATTTTCTCCCATTCTATGGGTTGTCTTTTTAATTTATTCATGGTTTCCTGTGACACTTTAAAATAACTGTCATTAATATAATCATGAAATTAAATGACAAGATATATAGATATAGATAGATAGATATCTCTATATATATATATCTCCTGTTGGTTCTGTTTCTGTACAAAACCCTAATCCACAGTTTAACAACAGATTAGACACGGATAAAGAGAGAATTGGAAGTTGGTTAGAAGAAAATATTCAGGCAAAAGCCTGGGGATGCAAAAGATGGTGAAAAGGAAGAAGAGCACAAGTGGCAAGGGGACAACATGAAACATTCTCTCATATGTATAACAGGATTCTGTAAAAGAGGAAAGAGAGAACAGGAGAGAAGGGGATAATGACTGAGAATTTTCCAAAATTAAACGAAAGACATCAAAAGCCACGGACTACAAAGAGGTATAGACTCCAAGATGGATAAATACAGCAAAACTATTTCTAAGCAATTCATAGAAAAACTGCTGGCAACCAAAGAAAAATCTGAAAAGCATTTAAGTAAGCAGTATTTTACTTTCAAGAGTACAAAAATAAGATTGAACTCTTTATTCTCAACAGAAACATTGTAAATAGAAGGCAATGGAATGACATATTCAAAGTACTGAAAGAAAATAACTGTCAATTTAGATTTCTATACCCAGTGAAAATGTCCTTCAAAAATTGCTGGGGGCAGAACCACCCTAAAATATTACTAAGGAGAGTTCTGAAGGCAGAAAGATAATGGTGCCAGATGAAGATATGGCACCTCTGGCTAGGTCATCACTTAAACAAGGACACTGGGCTATTTGGCCTGACTCCATCTTGGGGCATAGATACTGGTTCCAGGGTATTGTGGCTTCTCCTTTTGGATCCATACAAATTATTAGTTTAATAATTAATTCAAGAATTTTGCTAAGAAATGGTGTCAAGATTCAACATACAATCTGACCCAGGAGGGGATCTTGGTAAACCCCAAAATAGATTGTTATAAGGATACACATGGTACTAAGGAAAACAGGATTCTTGGCTGTGCGTCTATCTCCTGGGTACCCTAGCATTGCTTTTTAAAATTTAACTAATTTTAAAATAACATTAAAATAACTTTTAAATAACCGCTCACTCCGTTCTAATGCCTTCTAGACAAGTCTATACCATTTGTTTACAATTTTCCTTGATTATATGTCTCTCCTTCCAACTTCTACACATTCTTTTAGAATCTGAGCTTATTGAAGCTACCCTAAGACAGTCAAGGCAGTATCTCTAGATGCCTTACAATTTTTTCCTTAGTAGAGTCATTCATCAATATGTTGTCAGAATTTCAGTTCTGAAAGATTCCTATCCTTTTTGGGTTCAGCTTCCTTTTCAGCGATGTAGATCTTGCTATTCAAAGTGTGATCCTTGGACCACCAGCACTGACAACACCTGAGACTTGCAGAAGGGCAAGCCATGCCCCAGACCTACTGAATTGCAATCTGCATTTTAACAAAATCCCCAGGTGATTTGTGTGCATGTAAAGTTTGAGAAGCACTGTTATAGGCCAAGGACTCATCACCTCTCTTTTTCTGAACTTGTTAAAAATGGCTTCCTGAAGCCTAGAGCCAGTACCATCTGGCTACACCCACCCGCCTTACTCCTATTTACTCTGAGATAATGGGGTTGTTCCCTGTGGTGTCACTGCCACTTCACAATTGGTGCTTTCTTGTTGGTAAGAATTAGATTTAGAGGAACCACCATTCCCCTTTCACTTCCTCTAACTTCTAAGAGAAGTCTGTTTTGTTTCAACTTTCCTTCATTTCCAAGACATAGAAGCTGAACTACCTCCTCCTTAATTATCCTTTTATATCTGAACAGACTATTTACAACATACTATATGTAAGTTCAAAGGTACTTTCATATCTGCTACTTTACTTGGTCCTCACAACAGTTCTATCTAGCATTAAAATGCTCAGAGTATAGGTTATTATTCCCATTTGTCAGATAAAAAAGCTGAAGCTTAGTTGCTAAAGCAACTTGAAACCATTTAACAAGTAGTGGCAATGTCAGTGCTAGTGTGCAGACCCCTTGTATTCTTGCCACTGCTCAGTCAGCACGCCAAATCATTAATTCAAATCTCTGAGCTGTGTTGGAGGGAGAGCTACCCGTCTTAGCACAACCAAGCAAATACTCTCTCCCCTATGGAAAATGCTCTGGCTTATCTACCCAATGCCCAACTTCCTTTTTAAATTTGCTGCCAGAATCCTAATGCTTTGGGTGGACTATGTTCAGCTACATACGTATTTTCCCAGCCTCCCTTGTAGTTAGGGGTGGCCAGGGGCACACTTCTGGCCAATAGGATGTAAATAGAAGTCTTGTGGAATGTATTAGTTTGCTGGGGCTGCCATAACAAAACACTACAAACTGGGTGGCTTAAACAACAGAAATATATTATCTCACTGTTTTGGAGGCTAGAAATCTGAAATCAAGGTGTTGGCAAGGTTGGTTCCTCCCAAGGGCTATGAAGGAAGTATCAGTTCCAGGTATCTCTCCTTGGTTTGGCATTGGCTGCCTTCCTGTTCACGTGGTGTTCTCCCTGTATGCGCATCTTCGTGTTCAAATTTCCTCTTTTCATAAAGACATCAGTCACATTGGGCTAGAGCCCACCCTAATGACCCATTTTAACTTGGTTACCTCTGTAAAGACCCTATCTCTAAATAAGGTCACATTCTGAGGTACTTGGGGTTAGTACTTCAACATACCTTGTTTAAGGGGACACAATTCAACCCTAACATGGGGAGAGTATGGGCTTCTGGAGAAGACTTTGCTTTCCCCATAAAAGGGGACACCACAGTGTGCCAACTTTCCACTGTCCTTCCTTCTTTCTGCCTTATATACTGTCTCAGTGGCTGGAGCTGCCCAGCCTTATTGGGATTAAGAGCGAAAAACCAAGAGAACTAAGGAATTGAACCAACATTAGGAACTGCTTGATTCTTCATCTTGTTACATGAGACAAATTAACCCCTACGCTAAAAGTCCTTGTAGCAGGTTTTCTGTTATTTATAGCTAAACACATCCTATTATATCACGTTTTCAAAGAACTGGCTTTATGTGATTTTATCAAATAACACCAATTAATCCAGAGTAAAACTGCTAGTTATTATCAAGCTATGTTTACGAATGATTAGATTGAAAACAGGGTTGACTGAATTGAATAATGAAAGTACCATAATTTTGCAGACATTCTGGAAAACAATGTCTAAGAAAAATACGTATGTTGGAGGCTGTCCACCAACTGCCACCCAACTCCCTTTTGTTGCTTGTTCTTGAAGGTGACTGGGTCTTCCAGCCCCAAGTGGTGTTCTTGACAAGCCAATAAAAAAGATCCTGCTTGCTATTCTTAGCGCTTATACTAAGGCTCTAGGGTGAGAAATGAGGTCATGACTTGTAACCCTCAACAGTGGAAATTTTAGCAAGTCCCTCCATGTACTTCTTTGATGACTGAACATGAGATCATCTCTGCAGTTAAAATTTATAGTCTTAACTGCACCTCTGTTCCCTTTCACACGCCACATCCTGTAATGATCTCTTTTGGAATTCTTGGGGAAGTTAAAGAAGTCTGACAGCAGTGACTGTTGTTTCTCCAGATACTGAAAGTGTGAAAGAAAGCGCTGGGGAATGGGCAAGGTGCAGTTACCAACAAGCCAGGCGGGATGCCTCCGAAAGACAAGGACTAGAATAAGGCAGGAGGGGAACCTCGGGGGGAAGAATTTAAGGAGGCGCTTACACTTAGCACCAGGCAGTGCAGGCTCAGCACCTCTTAATTTTTGGCCTGACTTTTCTCCTGCCTCACCCTCGTCCCAGCCCTACCTCCGAGCAAGAATGATCTCTAATGGACTATTACCCCCTTAAATTCATTTCAGTTTCTACGTCTGCTTTTTGCTTCTAAACTGTATGTTTTATTAATTTCAGTTGAATAGTTACATTTTTCACCATAATCCTGATAAGAACACAATTACAGAAAAAGATATTTTCTTTTCTTCCTACCCAGGCATTTAATTTTTTTTTTTTTTTTTTTGGTACACAGGCCTCTCACTCTTGTGGCCTCTCCCGTTGAGGAGCACAGGCTCCGGGCACACAGGCTCAGCGGCCATGGCTCACGGGCGCAGCCGCTCTGCGGCATGTGGTATCTTCCCAGACCGGGGCACGAACCCGTGTCCCCTGCATCGGCAGGCAGACTCTCAACCACTGCACCACCAGGGAAGCCCAGGCATTTAATTTTTTACAATGATAACTCCAAATAAGTGAGTACCTATGTGCCCAAGCTGTGTAGTGTATTATGTGTAATACACACTAAGAAATTCTACAGTCTAGGCATCCATATCCCACCTGGTAGATGAGTCCCAGAGACAGTAAATGACTTGCCCCCAGCCCCACAGAAGATAGGGTCACTCCAACAGGAGTGCCACAGCTGCACCTGCTACCTGCGCTCTCTTCAGGCCTCAAAATCCATGGTTTCCAAGCTTTTCTTGTTTTAATCCCCTTAATCACCACAAGTTCTACCTCTTCATCTCCTGGTCAGATTTTTCTTCCTTGTCTAAAAGATTTTACTATTGCTTTGCTTTTGTGGTTTCTTACTCTTTTCCAGCTTAAAAAAAAAAAATCATTGAGTTTCAGAGTAGATCAGTATGTCAGGTTTTCTCAAAACATTCTTTAAAGCCATTTTCTGACTTAAATGTCTAGAGGGCAGAGCTAAATGGGGCCACCAGGTAAGAAAGCAGGACGGCTCCGCACACTTAGAGAGGATGAGGAGGGAGAAATGGAAAGGAAAAATCTTATTAGGCTTTGTAGGTCAGGGAAATCCTTTCTAGCCTGGATTTTTAAACCTTCTGAATTTTAATTGAAAGTATTTCTCCAGGGTATTTACTTTAACATGACTGTGCACTCTCAAAAAAATATTCCCTATCCATATTAGAAAAATATTACAAATCTCAGGAAGACAAGATTGCATTAGAGGGAAGAATCTGATGATGTGCCCTTTCTGCTTCAGACAGTAACCATGAAATTGTTGGCAACTACAAAAGTTGCCAGACTTGTTTTGAGCGTCTCTGCTGGGAAAAACCTAATGCTTGTGGGTATGATGCATGACTCTCTGGTCCCACCTAGGAATCACCATTAATTCTTAAAAGAAGTGAGCAATACTCCTTTTGAGAGATTTATGATCATCCACACCAGAAAGTGCTCCCAAATTAGACAGTAAAAGATTAGTTTTAACCTCTCATAATAACCTGGGGGCTATTGTTAGAAACGTATGAAAATTAATAAACAAAACTTGAAGTCATCCCAATTTCCAGCTTTGGTCTTGAATGCAAAATATTGCTTATTCTTTTTTTTAACTTTTTATTTTATGTTGGAGTATAGTTGATTAACAATGTTGTGATAGTTTCAGGTGTACTGCCAAGTGATTTAGTTATACGTATACATGTATCTATTCTTTTTCAAATTCTTTGTACAGTCCCCCCCAACACACACAAATACACACTCCAAAAGATAGAAATTCTCAATTGTTTCCTTATAACAAAGGCAAAATTCAGTGACAGCTAAGTGTTGCTACTCATCTTTTCTTAATTTGTGTGTATGTACATTTTTGCTCAAACTAGAAATTACTCTCTTCTTCCTGCATATAGGAGTATCACTACAACTGTGATTATTAGTAGTAATGGAGATTTTAATAGTACACTTGTTTAAATAGTACTTTTTGTCTTTCAGGCTCAATATATTTTTTTATAGCATATCTTCTCATTATTATCTTCCCATAAAGGAGGTGACTTATGATTTCTGATGTATAGATGTAAAAGTCAGGGCACTAAAAAGCCAGGTGACAAAATGTGAGGTCAAACAGCCATGAAAAATTGATCCTCCAATTCACTTCCTGAATTCAAATTATTTAGTTCTCTTTAAAGACAGAAAATGGAGTACAGTAATAAGTAAGAAAGAATTTTCAATTGAAAGAGTCCTTCAGCATTAGAACACGTTTCCAAATTAGGGATCTTCCTTTCCAAATTCCTTTAACCATAGCATGGAAGACTGGGTATTTTGGATGGGTTCAAGGCTGACCCACCTGAGCCAGGGCATTTACTGGATAATCCTGTAAGGAATCTGAGTAGAGTTCTTGTGATGCTATGACTAAGTGATCATGCCCTGCCGGCTTCATCCACCTCTTATCATATTTTCCCAGCACTCGCTTATGAGGAATCACTTTGGCCCCTCCTTGGAAACATACTTTCCCACACTACTTCAGAGTTTTTGCTGCAACTCCACTGCAGTATCCCCACTTAACACTGTGCTCCCCGCTGTGGGATTAGAAGGAAGTTTCCCTTCCCTGGGACTCAAAGCTAGAAGTAGTCTCAGCACTAATGAAGGATGTGCAATATGTCCATTGCTCAGCCATCCGTTCTGATCCCTGCGCTCAGGTGGAGGGGTCTCTTCTCTCCAGGTTGCTGCCTGATTCATTGGAGCCAACTCTCCACCTTCAACCTTGCTGCTATTCTGCAAGTCTCAGGGATCTTTGCAGTCAGAGGAGGCTCAGAGATAACAGTATATGGGCATGGCCATGACCTCCACTGTCAGCATTTAGAATACAGGGTGATTCAACCCAGCCATGAAACGAGAAGGTAGATGGGGTGGAGATGGGAGGGCAAGCATCCACTATCTGCAACCCGTGAGACTGTTAACTTCCCACCTTAGCAGGGGCAGGGTAGCAGCAGCACGAATCAATCTAACACACAGGCTCTCTGGGTTTTAACTCTAGCTTAGGTGCTTTTTCTGCTGCGGTTTTCACATTTAGACCTAACAACATTTTTTCTTGATAATGACTATGCCCATCAGGTATATGCTCCCTGCTTTTACATATAATGGTTCTAGTGGCCAGCTATTGATTTTTGGTCCTCTAGCATCCTGAGTTGTCTGCATAGGTAATCCTACTCTGATTTTCCTCTGAGAGCTACCTCTTTTCCAGTCATAGCCCATGAGCTTCAGGATGGACTTCATGCATTCTCAGCTCCAGAGCTGACGCATGTGGATTAAGCATGGCCCATCAGAATTTCATATTTCCCTGGATTATGTGAACTGAATCTCAGGACTTCCCTAGAAGCTACCTGAAGAGACTTGCTCTAGCTTTATCAATCTGAGTGTTGAGTGTTGTCATACTAGGAGCCAAAGGCCACTGAGCCATATCACATAGAGGCTAACAATTTCATATTGGATCCGTATGGCAGCTTTGTTGAGGACTGAATCCTACTGACCCGAAGCTGTACCTATTCCTACACTTTTAGTAATAAAATTCCTTTTCAGCTTAAGCCAGCTTGATTTGGGTCTTCTGTCACAATATTTTGCAATTTGCATAAAGACTGATTGAGCTAATACACAATACTGTTGTAAGCAGCACATGAGATAACGCGTATAAGGGAAATTTCAAGCGTAGGAAGAGAACTATGAAAGCATGAAAGATTATTGTTGATCTACCATAAAGGTAAGCCCTCTTGCTATTCTCCCTCTTCAATCATGATATTTAAAATCTGATTCCTGTGAAGAAATTGTGCAAAGTGATGTATGAAGACCTAGCTCATTAAAGGTTATTTGGCTGTATTTTTCTGTCATTCCTTTTGGAATTGAGCGTAGTAAAACACGAACCGATGAACAAGCCTCTCATCCTAAACTCCTGTCACTCTCTAACTCCTCACCTCCTATCACCAAGTCTGTAATATACTTCCTTAATTTCTATTTAGTCTGTTCATTTTCTGCCACATCTATTGCCACTATTTTAAACAGGGTCCTCATTATTTCTTATGTGAGTTATTGAAATTAGAATGTGGTGTACATGTCTGAAGAAGGGGACACTGGAGGAGTTTTAGGCTTTGTTAGAATATTGGTTATATACTTGCTGCATGACCCCAAACTTAGTGTCCCAAAACAACAATAAACATTATTTCACATGGTTTCTGTGACACTAGGTTTGAGAGTGGCTTTGCTAGATGGTTCTGATTCAGGTTCTCTCACGCGATTACAGTCAAAATGTTGGTTGGGGCTGCAGTCATCTGAAGGCTTGACTGGGACTGGAGATCTGCTTCCAGCTTGGCTCCCTCACATACCTGGCAAGCTGCTGCTGGTTGTTGGTAGGGGGCATCTTCCATACCACACAGTCCTCTCCATGGGGAGGTTGAGTTGATACTGACTGGGGTTCTTGGCCTTCCCCAATCAATAGTAATTAACTAGAGGCCAGACAAGAAATTCAGGCAAGGCTTTACTGGCACCCCTGCTGCAGCAGGGGGTAGTGAGAACAAATAACAGTTTGCCTTGCTTGCTCTCTTGGGGTGGGGTGGGAGGACAAGCTTGTTCCTTATATGGAGTGAGGGTAGGGGTGTGTCCAGGGGTCCGGCCGGAGGGGTGGCTTAGGTGTTTTGCCCACCCCTCTGGTGGTGTTGAGTGCAGGGGGCATGCTCAGTACCCTGCTTTTGCTCCCAACACCCTGTTTTTGCTCCTGGCTCTTCAGAAGTGGTAGTAGGGTTTTTTTGGTCTTTTTGTATCTTTTGTCCAGAATTTGCCCCAACTGGGCATGCACACAGTTATTTTTAGTCCCATATAGTTTCTTTGTATTTTGTTGCTGGAAGAAAGGTTTGTCCAGGTACAAACACTGCAGCACCGCAGCAAAGGGTCCCAGGTGCCAGCCTGTCTCAGAGTGTTCTCATGACATAGTAGGAAGCTCCCTCTAGAGCAAATAATCAAGAGAAAGCAAGAAAGAAGCCACAATGTCTTTTATGACTAAGCCTCAGAAGGCACTCTTCATCATTTCCACAATGTTCTTTTGGTTACACAGGTCAGCCCTAACCAGTGTGGAAAGGGGTACAAGGGCATAAAAATCAAGAGGTGGGAATCATGAGGGGTCATCTTGTGGCTTGGCTACCACTGAAAACTTCAGTCTGGGATGTTCAGTTTTGAACATAAAGTACTTATCAAGCACTATCAAGGTGGGGATGGGCAGTAGAGAGCTGGACTTCTGGGTCATGAATCAGAAGAGAGATGTGCACAATGAGTCATCAGCAAAAAGATGATAGCAGAAGACATGAGAGTGAATAAGCTCACCCAGAGAAAGGTAGAAGGACTGAACCACTGATATCTGAGGATGGACAGAGAAGGAAGAGGCTGCACAGAAGACTGAGAAAAATCAACCAGAAAGGTGGAAGAAAAGCCAAGATAGACTGATACCATCAAAATCAAGGGAGTTTCAAGGAAGGATAATTGCTAACTTCCCACTGAATTCTAGAATTCTATGATCCCAGTTGACAGTTGTAATGATATCAGGTTTTGCTAAGAAACTGATACAATTGAAATAGAATCGTAAAAATCCAAAGGTTTTTGGAAGTTGATACCTAACAGATTGTTAAATTTCTAATTGTCTTTGCAAGCACAAAATAAAGAATTTTTTTGTTTCATCTTTGGTGGAGGTGACAGATTTTGTTTGTTTTGCTTTACAAGTTAGTATTTTCTTTCTCTGTACATTCTGTCCATATATTTCCTCAAATTCTTTCCTGGTTATTAAAAGAGTACTCATCATTATCTGAAATGCCAGACTCAGTTATCAACCTCTCCTGTTCTCCTCCTATCTCTTGAGGCAGCAATCACTCCATTACGTTCTCTGTGATTTTGAGGGTTCCAGAATCTCTAGACCACCGCTCTGGTC